CTACTTGAGCTGGTCGGCAAGCTGCTGATGGATTAGTTTTACCTTGTCTGCAGTGGAGCGAGAAATGCGCCTCTCCTTTGAATTGCACAGGATTACCCATAGCATTCGAAGCCTCATCACTTTGATACTGTCCTTGGAAACATTGCTGAGCTGCCAATGATGATTGCCAGTCAGGTAGCTGTGCACTTGAGCAACCACCATAACCCCACAACTTGCAAAATCGGGCTGCTGTGGGGTTTCCACCCATTCAATGGGGCTGATAGCGAGCGCGTTCTTCGGCGCTGATGATTGGTGCCACCTTTCCAAAAAGCCACGTAGGCCCTCTTTCTCTAGTTTGTCTTTCTCCGTAATACCATTCCACACCACCTCCATGTCTTTGTGATAATCTTCATCGATAAGAGGTTCGTACATGTATACCCGCACATGCAACTTCTCGGTATGTTCATCGTAGTCCAGACGAACAATTATCACCCCCCAGTGATTTCCATTCAAATTCATCGAGTGAATGATGAATTTTTTGTCGGTAATAGGAGATTTAGGTGTCGATGGCCAGCCAACACTCCATGCCAATGTAGATAGAACTAAGCAATGCCCCACACCACCAGCAATTATTTCCAAACAGAAATCCACAGGGCTGTCATTCAGCCACCCTCTGCACAGGCCACCCACAATGTTGTCAAAGGTGATGAGACCCTTTCCAGTTGGTGTCGCAAATTCAGAGCTGAGAGGACAGGAAGTAAATTTAGAAATGACTTCGTTTGCCAGCTTCTGGTGACGATGGCGTAAAGCGTCGCCAGATATTTCAAGAGTCTCAGTTTCCTGCTCGAACAAAACCACGTCCGACTCCACTTTGCGCCAATCCTGCTCTAACCACTTTCGATCTTCAAACCAGGAGCGCGTCTTGATCTTCACAGCATAGAATGTCGTTAAAGCTCCTACATAGGCACTATAAAAATCATGCACTTAGTTAGAACAACCCTAATACAGCAACCATAATTCATACAGCAACCATGACAGCCAAAAGCAACCTTACCCGCTAAAGTTCCAGAGCTTG